CTGGGTTGAAGCTTCAGTTATATAAAAAGCCTCTTGGCCAGTAATTAATATTTCGTTACGATTATCATCAGGCCTTATTTTCTCCTGATAAAATGGCATATTTTATGAGTGCTGATTATTTTTACTCGGGGTTTAACTAGCCCAATTCATTCATACTCAGATTACCCAAAAAATACGAATAATTTGCCTGATTCTCTTAATGTAATCGATAAATTTTTACACTATCCTTAGCTATAGCTATTGCTTTCACGTATTTTACCCTATTCTAAATTGTTTATAGCTTCATATTGATTTTTCTTTATTGTGATGTTACACCTAAGGTCGTTGAAAGTTTTAGAGAATTCTTAACGAGTAATTTACCATAAATTATGACCTTGTCCTTATTTATCCCATAAAAGTTTTCCATTATTTTCCCGATATTTTGGTTTATTTCTTATCGGGATATCTCATGTCTCGCGATCTTAACCAATTTATCTGAAAAAATGTCTGGCTACACGTAAAATGTTTTCATGTTAATACTCTGGTAGGCTTTTAAGCCCCATTACTTACTATGTTTTTATTCCTATCCTTTCTTGATATGTTTTCATAGATCCTATCTTCATTTTTGTGAAAATCATTTGCATTAAATTTCGACTAATTCTGATCAATCCCTCTTTATATGTATTTGAGACTTCAAATATTTTTGATTTTAGGTATTTGACTTTTATTAGTTGGCGGAGTAGGCATCTCGTGCAACGTCTCCGGTATTTTATTCACATTTATTTAAGCATTTGAACGACCTTGTGCTTATGATCCCTTATTTTTTATCCGTACTTATTATTTTTATTTTGCTGTTTCCCACTGTCGGCCGTAATTGTCTGACGATATATATAGTATTCTCCTATTTAAGTGGTATTTAAAGGGTTATCCTAATACCATTGTTCTAAAGTCCTTATGTTCCCCCCTTCGATCTCTACATTTATAGTTTATACTACCATAATAGTAATCCTTTTTATACACTTAAAAATTAAGGTTTTAGTAAAGTTTTAATAAGGTTTTAGTAAGCTGTTAGCAATCTTAATTATTCCAGTGCTTTGAGATGGTGAGAAGCCTGATCGCTTTGTTCTCAAGGTATGCTATTTTCGACTTCTATCAAGTCCATTTTTAATAACTGATCTATTAATCTAAATCAGGCTGATAAAAAATAGTGGGTTTATTCGGTAAGCCCTATGCTGGGATAGGTTTCGCCCATTTGTTAAATAGAAACTCGATATAGCTGTTGAGTATTATGATCTTAATTGGCTTAGTAAAATAGCAGAAACAGGACACGAAATAGAATGGCCTTTATGATCTGTACGAAGTGGGGTATCATTTTCCTGGCTTAAGCATGTTAGATTATGATGACTAAGGCATTTCGAGTCTTAGCATTTCATATTACTTATTGTATGCATCAATCTTTTTTTTCATCGCCTAAACTTGCTTAAATCTATATTCAGCATATTTTTGTCTCCTTATTTTGTATTCTAGATTTATGCTTACTTTTTCCTCGTTTTCCTTTGTTTCTATCGTCATTTGGTGTCTAGCTTGCAAAGAGTTATCTGGGTCCTACTCATGACCTTTCTGTTTATCGCGGTCCCACCAGTTGCCGGATGCCCATCCTCAACCCTCCAGCAAATTATTCACAGCCGACAGACAATCAATCTCCAATGAGTCAAATTTCCCCAAAGCAGAAAGCTCAGCTTGATGATACGATACATGAGCCTCAGCTTTTACACCAGAGACATCATCCATCTCCACACCGCTCAAGCCAACATCATAATAGACTTATGAAGATGTGTAAGCAAGCCGGCTCGCAGCTGCCAACACCCTATCCTACAGGCTTTTCGACTGGGATTCAGGGCGTTTATCAGCAAAATGGCTTTCTATCCTCGAACGGGCTTCCCGCTCACATACTTTCCATGGCTCACTCCTCTAGTCACTTCTCTGATAACTCTGTTTCCAACTTTATCACTAGCTCTGCTGGTCCCTGTTCATCTGGTTGCGACTACTCACATTCAGATTCATTGAATACCTTTACTGCCACTCAGCAGCTGCAGAGACCCTATATGAACGGATTTATTAAATCACAGACGCCATCCTACCTTGGTTTCATGCCTACAACGGCAACAGCCTCTATCGCCGATAGCAGCGGTACTGTCGGTACAGGAGACGCTCTAATCGAGTCAGAAGATGCCTTTCTGTCTATGTTACGCCAGCAGGCTAAGGCTAATACCTCGAGTGTTCAACTTGGGTCCTTACTCGCTGCTACGGCCTCGGCTTCTTCGGTGGCCATGTCCATCTGTCCGTCAACGCTTTCGACTTCATCAAGCGCCTTTTCTACAGAACTCAGGAATAATAGCCTTTCCTCGGACTATAAGTTTCATTCTGGTGGAGGTAATTTCTCCCCAACTCCCCTGCACCACCTTGGCGCCCCTGGCCAAATGGTGTCGGGCTGTCCATCAGAACGCTTTTTGGAGAGCCTGTTGGTACCTGGCTGCAGTGGACTTGAGTCAGAACTCGGGCCGGTTACATCGGGAGGCGCCGAGAGCCTTGGGGCTAGACTCACTAAAAGGGAGCGCTTCATGTCAGAGCTCGATTTAACTGCATCTGTTGAGGATTGCTGCACTTCCTTAGGTTCTCTCTCTGCAGTTAATGGCAGTGCTAATGCAGTTGATCGAAGACGTAGGAGAGATATGCTTACTTCATCCCTCCTTTCAAGTGTGTTGTCCGAATAATTCTTCCCAACAGATTAATTTTTCACAATTTAGACGAAAAGTGAATAGAGAAGCTAATAGACAGACGGATAAACAAGCAACTGACAGGGCCTTGATACAAACCTTGATATCGTAGCGACTTCCTT